TCGTTTGCACGTCATCCTGTCGTCTGTTCGCATCATTTTGTTGCATGTGTTTTGTGTGCTACGTTGTTTGTGTGGTTTGTTGGGTTTGCATGTCTTTGCATATTCATCTTGTGCTTGTGCAGATGTGCTTGGATTGTGCATGACATCGAGCATATTTCAACGAGCCAAGAATTGTTGGAATCGGAGCACATATGAAGAAGTTACGAAGAAGTGTTTGATGGATTTGTTACAACTTATTGGAAGTCCTTGGCAGCTGCTACACCAAAGTTGGAGAGCCCTATAACGAGGAGGGACCAGAATGTGTGGGACTTTTGTCCTCACCTTGCAGTTGCAGCATTTGGGGGTTGGAGGCCAACCTGGCACAGTGTGAATTTTGTCTTGCCAGGCTGGTTGAACCTAAGGATCGGGAGTCAAGACTTTGACTCTTGTCATGTTCTTGACCATGGGCCTCCAGGGTCCTTCCCTTTCATCCTTCCCTTCCATCCCCACCTTCCAACTGTGCTTCAATGCCTTTTCTATCATGCCTTTGAACTTGTAAGCTTCAATTATAGTGACTCTGAGGACTGTCAACTTCTCCTAGGGCAGATTACCCCCCAGTGCGCCAAACGCCATAGCTCACTCGTTAAGGTACGAAATCGAGTGATTAAACTTTCAGTGGAAAGCTGACGCTGCAAAATACAACATATCCGATTTTCAGATTGTTTCACAGATTGGACTTTTGGATATAGCTTTTCAAAGGTCGCGGATTTTCTGGGCGTCATAACGAAGTACTGTAGAAATTTCCAAGGAGCCATTGAATCATCTGCTTATAGCCTTCTCTAACCAACAAGTGGTATCAGAGCCCATTATCATGCATTTGAGACCTTAAATATGATGAGAGATAAGGAGGACTCTGGTGGAGGTGATACTTCAGTCCAAGGAGGCAGCTCAACCCAAGATTATGGCATTGCAGCGCAAAGGGGAGCGCGTACAAGCCAGGGATCACTGCTTAAGGAGGTGCTGAAGAACTTCACCATTGAGAAGTTCTCTGGAGATGGTTATGATGATTGGGCATGGAAGATGCAGCTCTACTTTCAACAAATTGGCCTCTTGAAGCTCATAATTGAACGGAGCCCAGGCCAAAGGAAATGGCAGAGCAAGCGGACTGGGATGAACGTTTATCTGCTGGGTATTATCTACTGTCACAAATCTTGGAGCTGAACAAGAGGCATCACATCATGCATCTGCTACCGGAAACTGATTGTGGGCCCAAGGCATGGGCAGTGCTCAAGGACCTGCACACTCCGACATCGGTTGCCGCTTCTCTCATGCTGGATCGGGAGCTGTCCATGCTGCGGTTGAGCGAGAATGAACCTGTGCAGCCCATACTGGACAAGATGAGGGAACTCTACGCGAAATTGGCGATTGCAGGCATCACGTACCCCGAGCAGACTAAGTGTCTCAAGATGCTCAGCCTGCTGCCTGAGTCTTGGCTGCAATTTATAAGCGGACTCAGCTTGCCACAAAACCAAAGTCAATGGACATTGGAGTGGATACGCACCAAGATTCTGGAAGAAGATTTTCGTCGCTATACACTGCGCGGAGGTGATGACAGCACCAGCGGCTATGCCATGCAAGGGACATGGAGGGATCGAGGGCGTGGCAATCGCGGTCGCTCCTACTACAACCAAGGTGGTCGCGGGACTTGGAACCAGCGGGGGCGTGGTGGCGCTGGTGCAAGAGGAAGAGGTGGTCACTCCAACAATGACAACAGTGAACCACGCTTGAGGGGAGAGTGCTGGTATTGCAAGGAAGAAGGGCATCCATGGTTTCGCTGCTCTACCAAGCCCGACTGGTGGACCCCTTGGAACCAATCGCAAAAGGGGAATGGAGGAAAGCAACCACATGGAGGTGCCAACATGGTAGCTGATCCTGCTGAAGAAACCTCCAAGGACGACAGAGGAATGGGAAATGAGGAGAGGAATGCTGGACAGTTCTACCATGTGTGTGACAAAGATGACAGTGGCATAGCTGTTGCAAGGGCTGGAGAAGAATTACACCCGCTTGACATGTGGGTCATGGACTCTGGTGCTGCATGGACAATGACACCACACAAGGACTTGCTGGATGCTGTGCGAGCGCCTCCAATCTCCGAAGTGCGCTCAGCATCCGGACATGCAGTGAAGGTCGCTGGAGTTGGTCGAGCTGCATTCAGAGCACCTGATGGTGGACTGGTTGTGCTGAAGGACGTGTTACTCGTACCGGGGCTGAAGGCCAATCTGATATCGCTGCGCAAGCTAGGCCAGGCCGGAGTCAGCACCACCACCAATGGATCCAAAAAATTCAAGGGGCTGCGAGGAGATCGTGTGTTATGGGATTTACACGAAAGCAGAGATGTCTTCAGATCCATGTGGCAGATCCCTGCACTGATATGGGAATCAACAAAGAAGGAGTTGGGAGAAGTAAAGGCGGGTTCTGGAGTCCAGGGGGAGTGTAATGCTGTTAGTGCTGCAGGAGTGACGGTTTCTGCAAGGTCGGGGGAGACTGATTGGGAAACCGCACACATGCGTCTAGGGCATGTGGCTATGCCATTGCTGCAGCAACTGCATAAGGAAGAAGCAGTAAAGGGGCTGAAGCTTTCTGGGCAACCAAATGATACCAAGTGCGAGACGTGTCTGTTGAGCAAGTTCACACGGTTCCCCTTTCACGGCGTAGCTGGGAAAAGCAAGGCAGCACTGGAACTGGTGCACATGGACCTGGTAGGACCTTTTCCAGTCCGAGGAAGTAAGGGGGAAAGGTACTTCCTGACAATAGTTGATGACTGGAGTCGGCTGATGTGGGCATACCCGTTGAAGCAGAAGGATCATGCTGCCTCAACAATACGAGATGATTGGCTGCCGTTCGTCGAGCGACAATCTGGGCACCCATGCAAGAGCATCAGAACCGACCGAGGTGGAGAGTTTCTAGGAGGAGATCTGACTGCGTGGCTCAAGAAACAAGGCATTGAGCATCAGCTAACGACGTCCTATACCCCTCAGTCAAATGGCGTTGCTGAGAGGGCTAATAGGACCATCCTAGAAATTGCGCGAGCGCTGCTGATCGAATCAGGGCTGGGGAACTCCATGTGGCCTCATGCGGTGAGGCATGCTACAGTGGCAAGGAACTGCGTACTCACAAAGGTGGCTGATGATATGTGGGTGCCGCTGGAGAGGTGGCTTGGAAAGAAGCCTCCAGTGGACATGCTTAGAGTGTTCGGATGCATGGCAGTGGCGCATGTCCCCAAACCGTACAGGACAAAGCTTGGAGCATCTGCACTGTGGTGTGTGCACCTTGGGCTTGCGGCAGAGAGCAAGGGGTGGCTACTCTGGGAGCCCTCAAAGAATGTGCTGTTTGACAGTCGGGATGTCAAATTTGTGGAGAACATCATGTATGGCAAGTGGGAGAAGCAGCCGGAGGCAAGGGTCACTCAGCAGCTGGAAGAGATCACTATGCACTTCGATTTGTCCGACCCTGAGGACAGCGAAGTCACTGCGCCAACGGCAAGCGGTACTGATGAAGGAAGCAATGATGATATTGCAGCTGATACTGAAGTCAAGGATCCGGAGCAGCCGCAGCAAGAGTCTTCCAAAACACCAAGTGTGCCAAAGCGAAGGAAACAGATTGGTGGGGGGACAAAGGATTGGGTGAAGGTGAAAGAATGGGTAAATCCAACCATCTACCCTGCACGTACCGGAATGGCAACAAGAAAGCTGCTGAGCTCTACAAGTGGAGGAGCCACAACAGAGCAGTAGGAACAGGCTCAAGGCGAAGATGCAGTGCTGTTCTTGGGTGATGACCAAGAGTCAGATGACGAGGAGCCTGCATACTGCTTTCACGCACCAATACAACCTCCGAGCATGGATCATGCGCTAGCCGGGCCTCAACGGGGGAAGTGGCTCGTTTCAAGAGATGCAGAGTACAACAGCCAGATGGAGAATCACACATGGGACCTGGTGTACTTGCCAAATGGGAAGAAGGCAATACAGTGCAAGTGGCTGGCAAAAATAAAGACGGATGAGAAAGGAGAGCCATCAGTTTACAAGAGCAGGCTGGTGGCAAAGGGGTTTCAGCAGAAAGAGAAGGAAGATTACAAAGAAGTGTTTGCCCCAACTGCTAAGTCTCCAACGCTACGTGTGCTGCTGGCGGTAGCTGCTGTGCGTAAATGGAAGGTGAAGCAGATGGACATCGTAACCGCTTTTCAGTATGGCATTGTGGAAGAGGAGGTGTACATGGTTCAACCACCTGGCTATGAGGATGGAACCGGTCGTGTCTGCAAACTTAACAAGGCCATCTATGGCTTGAAGCAGGCCCCGAGATGCTGCTACAATAGGCTGGCCAGTCCACTAGAAGGGATTGGATTCCGTGCGAGTGCATGCGACGAGAGCCTATTCCTTATGGGCGAGGGGGAGTCGCTTGTGCTTTTGCTGGTGTACGTGGATGACATCCTGCTCTTCAGCAGCAGTGACAAGGAGATCGATGGGGTGCAGCGGAAGCTCACAGAGCAGTTCAAGTGCAAGTCACTTGGAGAGGCAAGGTACTACCTGGGAATGCACATTGAGCGGGATACTGAACATGGCTGGCTCAAACTGCATCAGGGACAGTACATCCACACCTTGGCAGAGAAGTACTCTCTGCAGGAAGAACAGACAGTGGTCACACCTTTGCCTTCCGAGTTCAAACTCATAAAGGCAGCTGAAGGAGAAGGAGTTGAGAGTGAAGACCAGAGGCAATTCCAATCCATGGTCGGGAGCCTACTCTACGCTACTGTGCATACTCGGCCTGACATCAGCTTTGCTGTGGGACAGCTGGCTCGAGTAGTGCAGAAACCAACAAAAGAGCAGTATGGTGCAGCGGAGAGAGTGGTGCGCTACCTCAAGTCATACCCTACAGTGGGAGTACAGTATTCAGCCTCTGCTCAACTCAGGCAAAAAGGAGTTGAAGTCCTCAAAGAGAAGGGGGAGCAGCTCGGAGAAGGAAAGGTG